TTTCACAGCCGCCCAGAGCAGCCTGTGTCACTTTCCTTGGCATTCTCGCCACGGTTCCCTGGCTTCCGTTTTCTGGGGGAATTTTCGGTTCGCTCTGTGTGTGTTGTGTTTGTACCCACCCACATGTCTCCAGGGATCAGGTTGAGGGGAACGAATGCCAACAGAGGAAATCAGTGAATTAAAAGTCGATGTTTGCAGTCACACATTCCCGCGGTGAGGTGTCCTTTTGAAATTTGGTGTGTGGGTCCCACGGCCCAAGCTGGAGATGTTTGGGAAAGTAACTCAACCGTTCCTTGGCAGGAAAAGCCAGGACCATGACGAAGGACAGTCCGCAGTGCATGCATCAAAACCCGCAGCTCGGGGGCAAGGAACCACGGGACACCAGAGTCCTGCTCCCTCGCCGGGAGTGACTGTCATTTTCTACATTTTGTAAGTTTCTCATCAAGTTTCCCAAGATCTGCCATATGTAGGGTCTCATCCTCCTCGGGAATTTTTTAGTATTTCTTCATGTCTAGACACAGTGAGGAAGGGAAGACATTCTTGAAAATCGTGGTGACAGAATGTTAGCACTTGAGACGACCACAGTGAGCTCCTCGTCCAAAGCCCCGATCTGCAGATCTGAACTCTGAAGGCCAGAGACGGGCTTGGTCCTAGTCTTCCGCTGGTGGATTCACAAAGTCTGTGCATCGCACTTGGCCATAAACAACTCTCAGATAAGAGCAAATCCACTGTTAAAGGAAAACATGCCACACTGGGGGCTACCTAACAGGACACACAGCTCGCCCTGGAGGAAGAGTCTGAAGGTTTCCCCAGATGGTCTGAGCAGCAGCAGCCCCGTGTGAGTTAAGAGTCTGGAGTGTTCTGAGCTGACATTTGGAATGGAGCCGCCATGTTGTCCACTGGATCTGAACCTTTTAGTTCCTGCTTCTTCAGGACTTGGGTTTGCCATGGGTCTACCGTGAAGCTCCTTTCAGCCCTTCAATAAACACGTAGAGCTCCCATTGTTCTGAAGGCATTTTATTTTTCACATCCTTCCAGATACTCTTCTTCCTACAAACTCGATTCAGTCTTGCAGTTCAGGTTTCTCATGGACAGAATTTGACGAGCACATCCCGTGTTTTTCAAGGCAGCTGCCGCTGACCGGTAGGGAGACAGGCTCGCCTGTGGACCAGCTGTCCACACATAATCCAGTAGGGCGCGGCTGTGGAGTGAGGCCATGTTATTTAAAACGTGGTTGATTAAGGATTTCCCTTCAGCGGGTGCCGTGGGAGGGGCAGCCCCCTGCAGGGTGTCCTTTGGGTGGCAGAGAACTCCAGCACTGTCATGCATGTGTGAGGATGGCAGGACAGTATATCCAACATCTTCCCCCAAATTTACAAAATGCCCAAAGCCATTTGCAAAGAAACTATATAGTCACCTCTGAGCAGAGGGACCAAAGCCTGGACAGAGTCGCCGCTGAAGATAGCGTCTGATGGTTCACTCGTTCAGTTGGCTCTGTTTGGCTCTGTTTAGTTCTCAAAGCGTGATGATTAATTTTATGTGTCACCTTGACTGGGTTAAGAAACACCCAGATAGCTGGTAAAACATTATTTCTGGGTGTGTCTGAGAGGGTATTCCCAGAAGAGATTAGCACTGGAATCAGTAAACTGAGTGAAGAAGACCCGCCCTTTTCAATGTGGGTGAGTGTAATCCAGTCCATTCAGGGATAAAACAAAACAACCCGGCCTGCACAGTGACTCACGCCTATAATCCTAGTACTGTGGGCGGCTGAGGCTGGAGGATTGCTTGAGGCCAGGAGTTCAAGACCAGCCTGAGTACTGTTGTGAGACTCCGTGTCTTCATAAAACTACAAAAATTAGTTGGCCGTGGTGGCGCATGCCTGTAGTCCCAGCTACTAGGGCGGCTGAGGCAGGAGGATCGCTTGAGCCCAGGAGTCGGAGGTTGCTGTGAGCTGTGACTGTACTATTGCACTGCAGCCGAGGTGACAGAGCGAGACCCTATCTTAAATAACTAAACAAACAAACAAACAAAGGCAGAGGATTCTCTCCCATCTCGAGGTGGAACATCATCTCGCCCTGCTCTTGGACGTGCAGCTCCTGTTTCCTGGGCCTTCGGATTTCAGAACTTACACCTATTCCCACCCGCCCCCCGCCCTCCACCCGGGTCCTCAGGCCTTCAGCCTTGGACTGGGTGTTACTCCATGGGCCCCTGCTTGTCAGGCCTTTGGACTCCAACTGCATTAAGCCACCAGCATGCAGATGACATCTCACAGGACTTCAGCCTCCATTATTGCATGAGTCATTTCCCACGATAAATCTCTTTCTATATCTATATATATCCTCCTGGTTCTGTTTCTCTGGCAAGCCCTGACTGATGTACAAACATTGCCTAGATTTTCATTCAATTCCTCCTTTTCCTCATAAAACAAAGGCTCTTACAGCAAGCAGCAACCCTCACTGCCCACTGAGCACTGACTACATGGGGGCACTGTGGGCTGCCCGGATGATCCTTAGCAGGTGACAAGGAGCATTTTGCCGTGTGACCTCAAAGGACAGATACCGAGCGATTCTTTCTTTTAGATGCTGCAATCTTTCTTTACAAAGAAGGTTTGATTTCAAAAGGTAGATGACTGCTGGTCGCTGTACAAATCCAGTAGACCTGCATGCTCTAAAAGAATTTGATACCGGGGAGATACCGCGAGCCATAACAAACCATGCAGGGGTCCATTCTCCACGTGTGGAGCCTTCCTGTCCTGCGGCCCCTGGGGCGTGAGTGGCAAAGGCCCGGGACGCAGAGAAGGAATGGTGACCTCCTACCTGGGGCTGTGCGGTGAGCGTGGGGGTGTTTCCTTCCCCACCTTCATTCCATCCCAGGTGAGGGGTGTAGTCTGAACAGGGCATTGTCATTCATCTTGCCAGGTTGACTAGGAAGGGGTCTGACCAATGAGACATGAGGCCAAGTTTGTTGAGGGCAGAGTCCCAGGTTGGAGGGTGCACCCTTTTGCGTTTCTAAATGTTGCCATGTGTGTTGGTTTTATAGGGCCGCCATGCTGGGTAGCGTCAATGACAGAAATTTATTGTCTCACAATTCTGAGGGCTAGCGGTTCAAATTCAAGCTGTTAACAGGGCTGGTTTCTTCTGAGGCCTCCTTGGCTTTTAGATGGCCTTGGCTTTTAGATGGCCATCTTTCCTGTGCCTCCCCTCTGTGTGCCTGTGTCCTAATCTCCTTTTGAAAAACAAGAACACCAGTTGGATTAAGACCAACTCTAATGATTTCGTTTTACCTTAACTAGTTTTTTTAAAAAGACCCCATCTCCAAATACAGTCACATTCTGAGGTCCTGAGGATAAGACTTCAACACATGAATTTTGGGAGAATACAATTCAGCCCCTAACACCATGCCTGATGTGATGGCTGGAGCTTCTGCAGCCATTTTGCAGCAGCTGGAGGATGAGTTCAACACAACCCAGGAGCGGGGATGAGCAGGAGAAGAGCAGAGAGATGTGGAACCAGAGGCCTGAGGTGCCTGTGCTGTTCTACTTCCTTCCCAGTGGAATGACAGATTTCTTTAGTTGTTAATCCAGTTTGAGTTGGGGCTTTCAGAGGTATCTTAATGGAGAAAGACATAAAAAAATCAGAAAGGAAAATGTAAGCAACCAGCATTGATAGGGACCCTCTTAAGGGAAGAGAGAAGCACATTTTGTCTCTTCCAGCACCTGGCACTGGGGCTTGCCGTGGGTGGGGAATGGGGTGCACGGTGAAGGGCTCCTCGGTTGGAGGCTTTGATTCCTGTCCCCAACTTGTGAGCACAGGCAAGTGACTTCCGAGTATCTCTGCCAATCCCTTCCTGTCCTGAAGTCCCCATCTCTGTTCTCAGCCACAGGGTTTCTTTCCTGATAGATGGCAAGCCCTCCCAGGGCACGGATACCACTGCATCCCCTACAACACAGCCTCACTGTGCTGTGTGGCAGCCGATTTGAGTTTCTTTCACCGCCTTTTCTTTCTCCTGCCTGGCATCATGTTATACATAGGCGATAAGCAATGAGTAAGGCGAAGTCTCATCCCCACAAAGCAGAGATTCCGGGCATTTCCAGTATGTGCAGTACATGGTCGGCGTTACCACATTGGAAATAACACAAATGTGCACAGGTTGTTCTGAAAGTGTACGGAAGGGACATCTCACCACACTTGGGATTCGGGCAAGAATCTTAGAGCATCTGTCCTATTCCGCACCCCGGTCCCCAGGCTGGAGTGGCAGGTGGAGGGAGGGAAATGAGGACCCAATTCAGTCCTTGCCCCCAGGGGCCACCATGAGTCTGCGCAGGTCCTGGTGCAGGACAGCCCCGGTCTGCTCTTTCACTCCCCCCAGCCCGTCATGCTCAGGTTCAGTTCCACCCACTTTCCCGCAGGGTGAGGGAGGCTGCCGGTGCCTGCGGGGGGTGGGGGGATCAAAGCTGTCCAGACGGGAGAGCCGAGGACGGCATGTTACTCCCAGGCAGCACAAGAGGGAGGCGCCTCCACAGAGACGGCAGAGCACACGGAGGGCCGGGGTTGTGCTGGGACAATCTGGGCCTGCAGACTGCGCTGTGGCAGCGAGTGTACCCTCGGGGCCTTCTGGGCCTCCCACAGCCCCACCCGGTCGCTCACCGGCCCTGAGCGCTCGGCCAGCGCTGGTGCTGGCACCATGCGGGCCACCAGCCGGCTCTGTGGGGAGGAGAGCCCCTCGGGGCGCGCTGGCCACGGAGGCTGCTCTGAGTCAGGGGCAGAGCATGTGTTTGGCCGGAAGTCCTGATTCAGAACTTGGAATCTGGATTTTCTGCTAATCTGGTGCTTTCCCTGTGACAGCACAATAATATTGTTTTGGTTGCTAGGAAACCCTTCTTTTAATTGAGCACTGGGTCGAGAGGCTATAGTGCCACAATATACCATGCAGATGTCAGGAGAATAGCACGGTGCCCAAGTGACAATCAGGCCGCTTCTCACAACAGGCGTGTCACAACACACAAGTGTCTCTCCAGATTCTCCCCACAGGGTGCGGAGGGGTTGATTTCTGATTGCGAATGCGAGATTCTCTCCCCAGGTCTGTGGCATGGGTGGCCCCGGGGCGGGCTGTCTGTGCCTGTGTCCGAGCTCTGCTTCGTCTTATAGGCTGACATTCTGTGGGCCATTAGTCCGAATGAACCACTATCCTAATGATCAGATTATTATAATGGTGCATTAGTTTGATGCAGGGTAATGAAATATTGTCACCTCCATAGGGATGGCTATTACGCCTTATCTCATAATCTCTGCTCAACACGGGCATCCTTGGTCTCTTGTCGTAAAGACTGAATACCCGCTTGAAGATCTCTTTGGAGAAAGGACTTTAGTGTCATTTTAGAAACTAAGAGTAATGTTTAATATTTCTAGGAGTAATTGCTTTTTATTTTGTTTTTCACAACGGACAGACATTGTTTGGATAACTCTCTAGGGGGAGGTGAGAGAAGCAGGCACATCGTCCCAGCTCTGAATGCCCTGGTCAAATTAATGTGTTCTCTTACTTTAGGGACAGAAGAGGTCCGTGCATTGTTTGCCAGGCAGTTTTGGAGCACGTGGCTGCAAGATTGGGTCCATATCTATTTGCGGAGGGGTCAGATATAAGCACAGGTGGAGCTGAGGGTGTCGATGAGCACAAGACCTCAAGTAAATGTTTTGTTTCTCACCTGGATGGACTGATTTCTGTGTTAACAATGTGGCCTCAATAATGTAAAAATAGTTCAATGATTGGCTTTCAAAAATCCCTGAGTGGATAGAATTAGAGTTGTGTTTTTAAAAGATGAGTGTCACACCCCCTCTCTGTTCCCCTACAAGTCGAAGTCACAGGTGGCATGCCACCTGCAACAGCCAGACTTCCTTTACTGCAAGCACCAGCAACTCTGCTGGCTCTAATCTGGAAAAGAGTTTATTTAGATGATATTAGGTGACTCAGAGGTTTGAAAAATCATCTGAGCAACCATGGATAGGGAAGGACACATAGGAGGGAGCCTAAAGGACCCCCAAGTCTGAGTACTAGAGCTTCAGCCATTTCCTGTATTTTTCTTACTTTGAGATTCAGATATCAGGCGGGAGGAATTTGTTCAATTGTTCTAAATCGTAGTTCCAGAATGTTTATGTAGGCGGTGATTTGGCGGGAATGGACGATGGCGTGTGCGGAGCCAGCGGTGGGGATTCTGCAGGGGAGGGTGAAAGGGGCTGATGGGAGGTTTTCGAGAGACTCAGAACACTTGAAATCGCGTCTACGAGCCAAGACTACATGCCCACTCTTGGCCAAGGCTAGCCTAGCACTCCTTGACTGACGGTTCCTTCAAGATTGGGAAAAGAAAAATGATTCTTTCTATCCTGTTTTAAGCATGCAGGCAAATTCTTATGACACAAGGCTCCGGGCACTTCCCAAGGCCTCAGTTTACAGCCGTTCCCTCTTGCTAGAGCGGTGGCGGGCAAACCCGCGGCAGGCACCATCGGTTGTCTACGCAGCATCCACTTCCAACTGCTTTCTCTGCCGGCAGGAGCCACTTCTCACAAAAGACTTGGAACGTGCCAACTGTTCATCGCGACATTCTCTCCTGCCGCCAGGTCATGTGACCCAACTCTGGCCAATGAGCCACAAGGAGGAAGTATGAGAAAGGCTTCACTCTTTAATACAGACTCGACGTGGGAACCGGCGCCGCCATCTTGGACTGCCAGGCGGGAAGTCAGTCCATGACAGACACGAGCGATTGGTGACCTCTTGTCCTGCTGAATTAACCGAATCTGAAATGAACTATCCTGAGGCCTCTTGCTAAGTAAAATAATAAAACATCCCTCACGTTTAAGTTATTTGCCTTAGCCTGTTCTGAGACTGGGTTGATATAACACAAATGTCACAGCCTGGGTGGCTTAATACAACAAACAGAAATTTAGTGCTCACCGATCTTGGGGGCAGGGAAGTCCAAGAGCAAGGTGCCAGCAGATTTGGTGTCTGGTGAGGGCCTGTCTCTGGTCCCTAGAGGGACACGGCTGTGTCCTCACCTGGGGAAAGCGGTGAAGGGCGACTCTCTGGGGCCTCTTTGAAAAGGGCACTAATCCCATTCGGGAGGGCTACACCCTTGTGACCTGATCACTCCCCAGGGCCCCCACCTCCATCGCCATCACATCGAGGATTAGGTTTCAACGTATGACTCTCGAGGGGACACAAACATTCAGCATATAGCACCATTTTAAGAGTATAGTATCACAGGCAGATGAAGCGTCCTAATTCACTCGTTGGTTAGTCTCTAAATGGTAAATCTAAGCCACACCTGGGATGCTCTGTCCCCAGGCAGCATAAGATTCGAGCAGCCTTGGATGAGTGTGGGGAAACTCCTTTGTAGGTGGTGCCGCTGGGCCTCCAGTGGCATCTCATTGGGTCACATCTCTCATGAGACGCTGGAAGGGACCATGCGTCGGCCAAGTACTCCAGGAACCAGAGCATCCTCCTCTTCTAGGCCGCCCAACCCAATCGCTCTTCTCCAGCGTCACCTCCTCCCCTAACTCGTCTGGGAGGCACTTCTGAGTGAGGAGCACCGAGCTTTCAGACTCACAGTCATCACCTAGAACTTTGCTACTCAAAGTGTGGTCCGTGGGACCCGGGAGCTTCTCAGGAACATAGCTTCTCAGGCCCTGCCCCAGACCTTCTCCATCAAAGCTCGAATTTTAACAAGATTCCCCAGGGGTTCCTATGCACATTGATGTTTGAGAAACACTGACTTAGGAAAAAAGATACCTTGTTCTAACTGGAGATGCTTTCCCCCGGTCATGAAAGCCATTCTCCTGGGTGAATTCTTCCCTCAAGTAGAAGGATTTCTCTCCAGGAAACCCAAAGGCTGTGGCTTAACAGTCTTTCTACGGATTCATTCTCATGTTCTAACTTGTGAGCTTGGAGTTGCCTGAATTTGTTACTTTGATATAATGAGATAAATACATGATCTTGGATTCTCTTACTCTGTCTTCATGAGAAGCTTCCAGAAATAAAGAGTCATCCATAAGTCTTAGGGGAGTTGAGATTAAAAAAAAACTTTTGCAACATGAAATTTTGGTCCAAATGGGATTTTTTTTTTTTTGCTGGTGATACTAATTAAGATTCTCTGTAAAACTAGGCCAGCCCCATGCTCTCCCGTTGGCAGTCTGTTTAGAATCTCTCTGTAAACACGCAGTGGCTTGTACAAATAGGGAGGCTTTACTTTCCCATCATAAAGAGGGCCTGAAATAAATCCCAGACAACTCTACAAGTTTGTCTCTGCCATAAAAATCGTGGAATTCATGGAGCGCTGTCTCACTGCACCCAGACAGGATACGGGCTGGCCAGTAATCGGCAATGGGAACCAGCTGGTGGCGGGTTTCACCCCATTCAGACCCGGGAAGGGGACGTTTAAAGGGGACATTGAGCTCTGCTTTCTGGGACACTTAAAGCTTTACATTCAGGTGATGCTCGTGTTTACATAGACTGCCTGATTTTCTTTCTTTCTTTTTTTTTTTTTTTTGAGACAGAGTCTCGCTTTATTGCCCAGGCTAGAGTGCCGTGGTGTCAGCCTAGCTCACAGCAACCTCAAACTCCTGGGCTCAAGCCATCCTCCAGCCTCAGCCTCCCGAGCAGCTGGGACTACAGGCATGCGCCACCATGCCCAGCTAATTTTTTCTATATATATTAGTTGGCCAATTAATTTCTTTCTATTTATAGTAGAGATGGGGTCTCGCTCTTGCTCAGGCTGGTTTCGAACTCCTGACCTCGAGCAATCCGCCCGCCTCGGCCTCCCAGAGTGGAGACTGCCTGATTTTCGATTAGTGACCGTGTGCGGCTCCAAAGCTTCACGTGGCCGGGGTCTGACATCCTCCTTGAGAGAGAATTCGAACTTGTCTGCCCCTGACTTTTGTACTGTTGACTGAGAGAAGGATGAGAGTTTCACACTTTTCTCTTGTACGTAGGCCAGAGGAGGTGATCCTGTGTGGCCACATGGCCTACAAGGGCTAAGTGGCAATAGCGAGGTGGGACTGGGCCTGGAAGAGCCAGACGTGAGTGATCTACCCCAGGTACCATATGAACAGGAGGAGAGGCAGCACGTGTTTCTTGACATCCACCCAAATTTCTCTAGAACCCTTCGCCTGTGTCGCGACAATCAGCACACGAAACCACAGGCCAGTTCTGTGGTTCAGCTCCATACTAGAGCCCAACTCAACTAGTGACAGCGGCTAAACCTGGATGTTTCTCTGTATGCAAGTGTGTGTGTTGAAAAATTTCCTAGATAATTCTGTTATGCTTGTTGGCTTAGATTCACTATCCAGAAAGCCCCACTGCTGTGTTAATTTATGCAAAATCCTTGTAGAATTTACCTTCCCTGCAAGGTTCCCTTTGAAGAAATTTTGGAACAATCTCAAAATTATACAAAAATTGCAAATAGTACTTTCTTTCTTTCTTTCTTTCTTTCTTTCTTTCTTTCTTTCTTTCTTTCTTTCTTTCTTTCTTTTTTTTTCTGGAACCATTTGAGATCAAGTTGCTGACTGGATGCCCTATGATTTCTGAACGCTTGAGTGTGTATTTCCTACTACAAAAGGGCATTCTCCTTTCTTTAGCATAATGCAACTGTCAAAATCATGATTCGAAAAATGATATAGTTTTACAATCTAATCCTCTGACCCCATTTCAGGGCCTGGATAGCAGATGGGTTTAATATATGGCCATGTCTTACATTTAGTTGTCGTGTCACGTTGATCTCTCTGTCTGGAGCAGTTTCTTGGTCATTGCTTGACTTTCAGAACCTTTGCCATTTTTTGAAGATCACAGGCCAGCCGAGTACAGACTGTCCCTCAACTTGGGTGTGTCTGAGGCATTCATGATTAGATTTCGGTTGTGTTTTTTGGCAGGCATATCACAGAGGTGATGCTGTGTCCTTCTCAATGCGTTCTATTAGGAGGTATGCAACTTCAATTTGTCCTGTTCATGGTGAGGTTTGCTTTGATATGTGATTATGGCATCTGCCAGAGTCCTCCACGCTAAATTTATTCTCTCACCCTTTGTAATGAATAAGAATTTTGAGCAGAGTAGTTAAAAACTATGTAAGCATCCTGTTACTCTGTAAACTTCCAATCTGTTCGTCCTTACATCAATATGGACTATGTTTTTCTTTGTTACCTATTGAGTTATGATCTACTTCTAACATTATTTTAATTCTCTAAATGGCCTATTTTTGGCCAGTGGGATCCCCTTCAGGTTGGCTTCTGTGACTCCTTGATATCCCGCCAGTTGTTATCTGAACACTTCTTTCCCTTCTGGCACAAGAAGATGTTCCCAACTCATTTTTACTTTTCCTGCCTGAGCGGTGTGGAATCATTCATTTCCCCAAGGAGCACTGGTTCCTTTCAGTGGAGAAGGGTATTTAGAGACCAATATCTGGGTGCTGGGTGTGCTCACTGCTGTTGGAATGTTGCCCTCCCGGTGGACAGAGACAAGTTATATGTGTTTGTAGGGAACACGTGAGTGTACAAGCGCACACACGTGCACATATACACACACACATTTGTCATTTGGATCACAAGTCTTTTTTTAGTTTGAAAGGCTGTCTCAGTTAGTTTGGGTCCACCCGAAACTTGAGCTGGCTGCAACCCCATCCCTAGTTGGAGACAGAGACTCCAGGCTACACCGAATCCTCTTGCTAGTAGAAAATCACCCTCTGTGATTTCTCTGAGCTGAGCACCAGGAGCAGAAGTTTCCTTCCCAGCCACATGCTGTTTCTCCAGTCGCATCTCAGCCGCTCTTGTTCCTCTTCTCTCTCTGGCTGCTTGCTTCCCAAACCCAACAGCCAACCCGCCCACAGAACTTTCACGACCTTCGCTGCGTCCGTGGTGGGACAGGATCGTGACACCAGAGTTGTAGGTGAGAAACGAGCAGAAACAACATCTCCTTTTCAATCTCAGTGTTCCCTAAAAGACTCCCATTTCACCTCGGGCTGTTTCCTTATGTCTCAGTAACACCCTCCCACCCCTGGTGGGACGTCCTGCCCCTGTCGTGGTTTAAGAACTTTGTACCCCTTTTTGGGTGGGCTGCGTAAGCATCCAGGCTTGCCCCCCGTGGATGCAGGGACACATGTGATGTAAGCATGAGGATGGCCTCGTGCAGTGACAGAAGTCATCGTCCCAAGGTCACGTCTCTGCTTTGCTGCCCACCAGCTTCTCGTTTCCTGGCAACGCTGCTCATCCATTTCAGAACAGGGCTTGCACCTCAAAGTATAGTCCTGGCTCCTTGTGTTCAGACGTGGAAAAATCAGAGTGGATGTTTGCTAAAAAAAAAAAAAAAAGCTTCCTGCAATAATAGGAACCGTTGACTGCTGTCTTCGCATAATTCCTTTCAGAGGCGTCAGGGACGGATGGGTAAGCGTTGATGTAGGCAGCGGCGCTTGGAGTGGGAGGAATGGTATTTACAAAATCCTCTTAGTTGTTGACGTTAGCTTCCTGGATTTTTTTTTTTTTTTCCTTTTAAACAAACCTTAATGGAACAAATGACATGACAAAATACTCTGAAAGCATCTGAAACACGAGATCCACCTACACACGCCTCCGGATGGCAGCACGGAGAGCCGAATGCCTGCCCGCCGGGGGTGTCTCCGGGCGGGGCCGGCTCCGCTCGGAGCGGGGCCCTGGCACGTGCCCTCCGCGCAGCCGGGCGGCGAAGCCAGTGCCCTCTCGGCTGCTCCGAACCCCCGGAACTTCTCTCAAATGAGTTTGGTTTTTCGAATGGTGCCCGGAGGGAAGCGTTTCCTTGCGCTGGCTTTACATTATTTTCCTGCTGTGCTTTCGATATCATTTTAAACTTCCATTCACACTGTGGGAGGAAATAGTTTCCAAAATTTAAAGAGGTTGAAAACCTATCTCCTTTGCATACCCGTCATTCCCACTCTGCCCCACTGCCGGTTAATCAAAGAATCAGGCCAGGAGACGTGGGCCGGAATGACGTTCTCCTGAGGCACCGAAGATGATTTTTAAAAAACACCGGGGGGAAGGGAATGTGGCTTCTTCAAAGGGCTTCATCCCTCTCTCCTTGGAGACAGGAAAGTTGCCTCTCGGAGTTGCATGGAATGTGTTTGGAATGTGGGGCATCAGGTCTTGGTGTCACTCTGCAAACCGTTGCTTGTCGGGAAGAGAAATCTGGGCAGAAAGAGTGGCTGATGGCTGAGAAGGTTCTGGAACTTCAGAGTTCACCTGGAAAGGAGGAGCAGACTTAACCCACAGCCCTTCCCCACGCTGGGGAAACGCAGGACATCAAGAACATCAGCGCTCAGACTTCTTTAGGGAACCCGCGTGCTCAAAGTCATAATTTTCACAAAGCTAAACCGATAGAATCTGAAGACAGCAAAGTGCTTCAGTTAAATCCGGCTCAGTCAAGTGTGTCTAGAGAATCCGTTGAAGAGACGCTTTAGAGGAGTGATCAATATGGTCTGGTCACGATTCTTAGCAGTCTGATTTTCAGACTAGTGGAGAGAAAACGGCTTCAGGTTTTGGAATTGGACGACTCGTGATGAAGTATCTGTTCTTTGTGTGTAAACCTGCAGCCCTAGTGCAACGGGAAGCAGCCGTTCTTGGCCAAGTGACACGCCCACATTGCCCGACTGACAGACTGAAAGGTCTGGGGACATTTTCTTGTCCTACCATCTATTTATCTGGTGCACCTCCTAGAGCCTTGCCGCTCCCACTGTGATGGGGAAATGATGTAACATGAACACTTGTGGAAAACCAGTCTGATATTGCCATTTTGTTTTTTTTTTTTAACTTTTTTATTTTTTATAGTGATGGTTGTACCACCTTGTGATGATATTGCCAATTCTGTCATTTAAAAAATAAATAAACAATGCCAGGCGCTGTGGTTCACATCTATAACCCCAGAGCTTTGGGAGGTAGAGGTGAGAGGATCATTTGAGGCTAGGAGTTCAAGACCAGCCTGGGCAACATAGCAAGATCCCATCTCTAAAAAGAAAAAAAACAAAAACAAAAAAACCATAGCCCGGCATGGTGGCACATGCCTGTAGTCACAGCAACTCGGGAAGTTGAAGTGGGAGGACCACTTGAGTCTAGGAGTTCGAGGCTGTAGTAAGCTATGATCGCACTACTTCACTCCAGCCTGGATGGCAGAGTGAGACCCTCTCTCTGGAAAAGAAAAAGAATAGACACAAGATCCCACCAAGCAAGTACCTGATGGCCATCTACCATCGTTATATTGGATTCTTAGATGTTGCTGTCACTGGTCATTAGGCAACGCTTTTAGTGTTAAGATATTGAAGGTATTAAAGTGCACCGTGGGTCATGTAACAAAATCTTAGCTCTTTAGTAATACAGTTCTATGGGTTAGTTGATCACTTTACCAAGCCAAGGCGGACCCCAAAAGAATGGCACAGGAGGTGGGTGCTCTGCAGTCTGGGGGGCGGAAGGGAAGCCAGTAACTG